GTGAGGTTCTGCAGGTCAGTGAGGTTCTGCAGGTCAGTGAGGTTCTGTAGGTCAGTGAGGTTCTGCAGGTCAGTGAAGTTCTGCAGGTCAGTGAGGTTCTGTAGGTCAGTGAGGTTCTCGACCACTGGGATGGTGGTGGGGGGCCAGTATGAGTCCCAAGCTTAACCTCATAAATGTTTAAACTAACATTGTTTTTGAGAGTTAAAAATGCAATATTTTTAAAATTTGAAATAAAAAATCTTAAAATCTACTCCTCCTAATAGGCACAACTGGTCTAAAACCAACGTTCTAAACATTAAATATCAGACTCAGGAAGGTTTGTATGCAGCATATCTTTTATAAATATAAAAGAAAATGTTGGGCGGCACGGTGGTGCAGTTGGTAGAGCTGCTGCCTCTCAGCAAGCAGGTTGTGCTGGTTCAAATCCCAGTCCGGGGTCTTTCTGGGTGGAGTTTGCATGTTCTCTCCGTGCTGCGTGGGTTTTCTCCAGGTACTCCTGTTTCCTCCCACACACTAAAAACATGCATGTTAGACTGATGGTAACTGTAAACTGTCCCGAGGTGAGAGAGAATGTTTGTTTGTCTTGTTTGTCTCCAGGTGTCCCTGTGATGGACAGGAGACCAGTCCAGATGTCCCTGTGATGGACTGGAGACCTGTACAGGTGTCCCTGTGATGGACAGGAGACCTGTCCAGATCTCCCTGTGATGGACTGGAGACCTGTCCAGGTGTCCCTGTGATGGACTGGAGACCTGTCCAGATGTCCCTGTGATGGACTGGAGACCTGTCCAGGTGTCCCTGTGATGGACTGGAGACCTGTCCAGGTGTCCCTGTGATGGACTGGAAACCTGTCCAGGTGTATCTGTGATGGACTGGAGACCTGTACAGGTGTCCCTGTGATGGACTGGAGACCTGTCCAGGTGTCCCTGTGATGGACTGGAGACCTGTCCAGGTGTCCCTGTGATGGACTGGAAACCTGTCCAGGTGTCCCTGTGATGGACTGGAGATCTGTCCAGGTGTCCCTGTGATGGACTGGAGACCTGTACAGGTGTCCCTGTGATGGACTGGAAACCTGTCCAGATGTCCCTGTGATGGACTGGAGACCTGTACAGATGTCCCTGTGATGGACTGGAGACCTGTACAGGTGTCCCTGTGATGGACTGGAGACCTGTCCAGATGTCCCTGTGATGGACTGGAGACCTGTCCAGGGTGTACCCCGCCCCTCGCAACAGTGATTGCTGGACATGGGCACCGGCGACCCACGTGACCCAAAATGGAATAAGCGGGTAAAGATAATGGATGGATGGATGGATGGATGGATAATCTCTAGTCCCCCTGAATAAGAACAGCCAGTCTAAGACCATGTCTTCCACATCAGGATGCAGACTCTCAGGAGCTTATTTGCAGAAAATATATTTAAAAATAAATGAAGACCACGAGGAGGGAAACATGTCAGGAGACAGAAGGAGAAGAGGAAAGTGAAGAATGTAGGACTGAGGGTTGCAACTCTAAATGTGGGGACAATGACAGGCAAAGGTAGAGAGCTGGCTGACATGATGCTGAGAAGGAAGGTAGATGCTTTATGTGTCCAGTGGAAGGGCAGCAAGGCTTGCAGCATTGGAGCAGGGTTCACACTGTTTTACCACGGTGTGGATAGAAAGAGAAATGGGGTAGGGGTGGTCCTGAAGGAGGAGTTGACAAAGAATGTAGTAGAGGTGAGTGTCAGATAGGGTGATGTGTCTGAAGGTAGAAGTGGAAGGTCTGATGCTAAATGTTGTCAGTGGTTATGCTGCACAGGTTGGATGTGATGAGAATGGAAATGGCTGTAGTCAATACCTATTTCCAAAGGAGGGAGGAGCATAGAGTGACCTATAAGAGTGGAGGAAGGAGTATGCAGGTCGACCACATTCTGTGTAGAAGAGGAAACCTGAGGGAGATTGGAGACTGTAAGGTTGTGGCAGGGGAGAGCGTGGCCAGACAGCATCGGATGGTTGTGTGTAGAATGACTGTTGTTGTGAAGAAGAGAAAAAGAGTCAAATCAGAGAAGAAGACCAAATGGTGGAAGATGAAGAAGGAAGAATGTTGTGAGAAATTCAGAGAGGAGCTGTTAAAGGCTCTGGGTGGTAAGAAAGAGCTTCCAGATGACTGGACTACTACAGCAACAGTAATTAGAGAGACAGGTAGGAAGGTACTTGGTGTGTCACCTGGACAGAGAATGGATGATCAGAAAACCTGGTGGTGGAATAGTGAAGTGCAGGAAGCTGTTCAAAGAAAGAGGTTAGCCAAGAAGAAATATGACAGAGACAGGACTGAAGAGAGGAGACAGGAATATAAGGAGATGAGTGTAGAAGGGACGTAGAACAAAGAGGGAGATAGCTAAGACAAAGCAGAAGGTGTACGATGAGTTGTATGGGAGACTGGACACTAAAGAGCTAACTAACCGATTGGCGAGACAGAGGGATCAGGCTGGAAAGGATGTGCAGCAGGTTAGGCTTATTAGAGATCGGAATGGTAATGTTCTAACAAGTGAGGACAGTGTGACGGGAAGATGGAAGGAGTACTTTGAGGAGCTAATGAATGAAGAGAATGAAAGAGAAAGAAGAGTAGAGGTCATAGAAACTGTGGACCAGGAAGTGGGAAAGATTAGTGAGGGTGAAGTCCAGAAAGGTCTGAAAAGAATGAAGAAGGGGAAGGCAGTAGGACCTGATGACCAGTGGAGGTTTGGAAATGTCTTGGAGAGATGGCAGTGAGGTTTTTGACTCAAATATTCAATGGCATATTTGAGGGTGAGAAAATGTCTGAGGAATGGAGAAGAAGTGCTGGTGGCCATTTTTAAGAACAAGGGTGATGTACAGAGTTGTAGCAACTACAGGGGAATTAAGTTGATGAGTCACACGATGAAGATCTGGGAGAGAGTCTTGGAAGCAAGACTAAGACGAGAGGTGACTATCTGTGAGCAGCAGGATGGTTTCATGCCAAGAAAGAGAAAGAGCACCACAGACGCCATCTTTGATTTGAGGATGATGATGGAGAAGTACAGAGAGGGTCAGAAAGAACTCCATTGTGTCTATGTGAATTTCGAAAAAGCATATGACAGAGTGCCAAGGGAGGAGGTGTGGCATGAGGAAATCTGGAGTGGCAGAAAAGTATGTTAAGACTGGTACAGGACATGTTAGACTGGTACGGGACATGTATAAGGACAGCAGGACATGTATAAGGACAGCAGGACATGTATGAGGACAGCAGGACAGTGGTGAGATGTGCTGTAGGAGTGACCGATAGCTTCAAGGTGGAGGTGGGAGTGCATCAAGGATCAGCTCTGAGCCCCTTCTTGTTTGCTCTGGTGATGGACCGACTAACAGATGAGGTCAGGCAGGAATCCCTGTGGACCATGATGTTTGCAGATGGCATCATGATCTGTGGTGAGAACAGGGAGCAGGTGGAAGAGAACTTGGAGAGGTGGAGGTATGCACTTGAAAGAAGAGGAATGAAAGTCAGCCGTAGTAAGACAGAGTCCATGTGTGTGAATGAGAGGGAGGAGGTGGAACAGTGAGGCTACAAGGAGCAGAGGTCACAAAGGTGCAGGACTTCAAGGACTTGGGGTCCACTGTCCAGGAACATGGGGAGTGTGGTAAAGAGGAGAAGAAGAGAGTCCAGGCAGGATGGAGTGATGGAGAAAAGTTTCAGGAGTGATTTGAGACAAAAGGGTGTCAGCAAAGGTCAAAGGAAAAGTTTACAAGACAGTGGTGAGACCAGCTATGTTGTATGGTCTGGAGACAGAGACATGGACAAAAAGACAGGAGACAGAACTGGAAGTAGAAATGAAGATGTTCAGGTTCTCCTTAGGAGAGAGAAGGATGGAGAAGATCAGGAATGAGATCATCAGAGGTACAGCACAGGTTGGACAACTGGGAGATAAAGTTATAGAGGACACACTGAGATGGTTTGGACATGTCCAGAGGAGGGACAATGGTTTGGACATGTCCAGAGGAGGGACAGCGGTTTGGACATGTCCAGAGGAGGGATAGTAGTTTGGACATGTCCAGAGGAGGGACAGTGGTTTGGACATGTCCAGAG